GACCAACCCCCCCCCCCTTCTGTTGCGGAAATGCACCCCCTTTTTTGGTTTTTTTCTCTGTTCACGCACAACTACGTTTTGTTGGTTGCACCCGCTTATATACTGTTCATTTATACAAATAACAACCAGTTCTGAACAATCGTGGTATCCTTGATATAAACCCACCCCGTAGGGAACGCATGGATGAACAAATTGTTGGGAAAGGAAAGAGTGAGTCAGGGTGCCTGGGATGAGTGGGAAGTAGGAAATCAAAATTAAAGAATTAACAGATGACAGCCTTCCTTCCAGCTCTTCACTCCCGGAGTCAGCCGCAGAAAACTGGGCTGTAGAGACAAATTAGAAAGTGAAAAGAAAAAGGGATCGTATCGTTCAGCATGGGGTTGTCGAAACCCCATCCATTCTCTACCCCCGGGACAGCTGTGACGAGGCACTTTTATTTCAGCCCCTCCCCTGCCCCCTAATAATAACTTTTTGTTAGTTTCAAGGAAGGTATCCGAAATAACTGAACGAGGTTATAAAACCTGTCATCGTTGGCTCCCATTCCCAACAATCGTCCTTCCCATTGCCCCGCACCTTCCCCTATCACTACACTCACGCCGCGAACAACACCATCGACGAGACAAGGAGAAAACGCCCCCCCCCCCCAAACCCGCCATTCTCCTCGCCATTACACTCGCCGACGGAAGGAACGAAAACCACCACTCCTTCTCTACCACTTCACGACACCCGATGACGAGTGTCCCCGATTGACCCCGATTATTACCGATAATCGAAGAAGAATGACCACGAGTATGGGGAAGCCATCACTCGTGATACAGCTGCCCCGTGCGTGAGATCGTTTTTGAAGAGAGTTGTTGAAGAGAGTCTTCTAAGAGAGTTTTTGGAGAAGTTTGAGGAGATTTCGAGGAGATCGTAGGAGTGATATTGGGAGAAAATAGTTTCGTGGAGGAAGTGGAAGTGTGTGGAGAAATTCTCAGAAGAGTTTGGAGGAGAGTTTTTCCCAAAGACCGAGGAGTGACGAATTGTTTTTAGGAGGCTTTCCCGCGCCGAGGAATTTTTCTGGGAGGATCAAAGTCGTCACCGTCGCCGTGAGTACCCAATCTTACCTTTCCCGCCCCCACAAATACCCATCAAACCCCTGCAATAACATCCCCCCCCCCCAACGGCGAGCTTCTAAATTTAGTATTTCTAATTATTTAGTAATTGCGATTCTGGTGGCCCGGAACCATTATTATACAATACTAAGCCCCCCTAAATTCTATTACTTTTTCACTCGTTCCCCTAACTTCTCCCCTTTTTGTAAGTATTTAACTTCCCTCCTTTTCTGTTGTTTCAAATACTCTTTTGTTTTTCTAATTATTATTAATTACCTGTGTGTCGCAAGCTGGCTGGCCTTACCCCCCACCCTTGATTAATTATTAAGAAAAGGCCTTGGATTTTGTTAGGAGATTTCCTATATTTAAACGTTCAGCAATTTATGGAAATCTATAATACTTATTTTTTCTATCACGCCCGAGTAATTATTCACCCCCCCCCCCTTCTCATTTCAGGTCCCCCCGTAAAAGCAAAGTAATTTCCCATAAAAAATCATTTGTTTCATTTGTTCGTGTCTTCACCGGGAATTATTATCTTTGAATTCCCTGGACAATGTCACAATGTGCAAATAGAGATTGCAAAAACTGTATATCCCTTTTAAAAAAAAAGAATGTAACGTTTTTGTCGGCTTTTTTTGGCGCTATGCATATCAAAATATATCTATATAATATGATATATATATATACCGATATATATATATAACCGTTCTTTATTGCTTGTTTTCCTCGACACAATATATATATATATATATATGTATGTTTATCGGTCACTTCGGTGACACTGCAATGTTTTTGAGTAAAGTTCAAATCTGGGAACCTAACCTCAAAAACTGAACAGCTCTTGGCATGACCCGGGAGCACCACGTGGAGGTGGCTGTTCAAGGCTCCCAAACCCCACATACATATATATATATATATACATATATATGTATGTGATTCGAGCACTTCGGTGACAGTAACGGAAAATTCCAGCACATGGTAAATGGAGCACTGGTCAGTTTGGTGACTGTCATCAAAGTAACCACCCGTGTGAAATGGACCATGTGAGGGAGTTGGCCCACTGCAAATTTGACACCACCCAGGTAACCCCTCCAATGTGCCGTAAACAGAACGTGAAAATCCTAGTTCAAACTCCGAGAAAGTGGAGTTATTACTCTTTAGTAAAAAACAAGGTCAGGAAGGGACCTAGGCGGGATCAAAGTGCACAGAGAGGAAGAGCTTGAGGTGAGCGTCATTTTCCATTCGAACATTATCTTCTTGCGTGATCCGACCAGGCAGCATAATCCAGCGATGCGCCAGTTGGAAATTGTGTTTTACCAACCACAATTGTCAACTTTTTGGGAGCCTTGAACAGCCACCTCCACGTGGTGCTCCCGGGTCATGCCAAGAGCTGTTCAGTTTTTGAGGTTAGGTTCCCAGTTTTGAACTTTACTCAAAAACATTGCAGTGTCACCGAAGTGACCGAAAAACATACATATATATATATATATATATATATATAACGTTTTTTTTGAGGACAGTTGGAGCTTTTGAGGACAGTCCTCGAAGTTTACCAAATATGTATGACGCTCACTTTGAGGACTCGTGATTTATGCGTCATATCTGGGAACACTGTCCTCAGAATAACCATGAATGTTTTGGGTTTTTTGAGGACATTCATTTGTTTCATTCAGTTATTGATTATTGATTTCTATGAATGTCTCAACCCAAATGAACTAGACATAACCTAAAACTCATACATTTGTTGCGGGGGCTCAGAAAGAGTTTAATGCTCATGGGAGTGACTTGTTAATGGTTACAATTTAATTAGCCGTCATGCCAGGATTGGTGTACTTTACAGATGGAATTCTCTACGTCTGTGTGTTCTGCCAAATATAAAGACAGGAAACGATTAGAAGCACGTATCTTAACTCTAAGCAGTAAGTACCTTCCAGAGTCTCTCAAAGATGAATTTTAGGATAAAAGAGCCATCGCTCTAAATTTTCGAAATTACAGCAAACATTCAGGTGCTGAAGAAACTGCAGAAGCTCGTCGATTTTAGGTTACAAGCCAGCTTTCCAAGAAGTGACAAAGAAACAAGGTAATGTAACTAAGGAAACCACAATTGGTTGTTGCTAAACATATGAAAAACTCATTACAAACCGTTCTTTATTGCTTGTTTCCCTCGACACAAGCCTAATCATTATTTCAAAAAATCCAAATTTGTATAAGACCTCATAGTTATCATCATTTGAATGACCTCATAGTATACACTAGAATTAGAGGTGTCCCCATAATAACCTTTATGCGTATTTTTGAATCCTCGGACTCGTCATTAAATCGATGTCCTCATAACAATAGAAATTTGTCCTTTGGTTTTCAACGTGAGATTCTTTTGAAATCATTATCGAACAGTTTGCTCGCTGAATTAAAAAATTTTATCCATCAAAAATTGCCGCGGATTCCAGTTCAATTCTAGATTATGAGAATTTTTCTCTAAATTCTTAGTGTAGTATTTCATTTAAAATCACATGAGAAATATTATAATTACGTGTAAAAATCGAGATTTAATTTGATTTGTTTCGATTCAGTAGGATTTGGTCGAATCGGCCCAAATGTTAAATGGAGTCATCAGATTTAATGAGAAAATCCTACACTCAGGATTATTTAGACATTTCACAAAAACAGTTTCCATCAAAATTGATGTATCCACAATAGCGTCTTTTCAATTTTGAAATCGTTCTCAAGGACAAAAAATTAATTGAATCGTTACAAAATTTTTCAATGCCACTTCTTTTAGAGAACCTTTAACAGACTAATGAAAAACGCACAGATATATGTCCCCATAGTCAGCGTTAATTGAACTAACTCATACGTAAAACCGACAGGTGTCCTCATAATCGTCTTTATGCATATTTTTGAGTCCTCGAAATCGTCATTGAATTAACGTCCTCACACCAACATAACGTTTATTGCTTTTTAACATAAACATCATTATCGTACAGCGTCTTCATTGAATTTGATACATTTATTCATGGAAAAATGTGGCAGATTCTAAATTGACTCTCTTGAATTATATAGAAATTTCCCTAAATTCTTTATTCGAAACCTCATGAATAATTTTATAATTGCCTACAAAAATTAGCATTCAATTAAAATTCCATTCAACTAAGCAGAATTTCGTCAAATATGCCCACACTTTCGATGAATTGCATAGGATAAAGGCTGAAAACATCAGATTTAATCAGAAAATGTTAAAGTCAAGAACGCATAGTTATATGTCCCGGTAGTGAATCGAGTGACCTCATAGTATACATAAGGATAAAAGGTATCCTCATATAGTCGGACTGAGGAGATTGTAGTCTTCGGATTTTACACGAGGTCTCCAGCACTTCCCCCACTACCCTCTACACGCACGCGCGATACTGTTAAAATGTATTACTCTACCACCAATAAAATAATTTGAATTTTAAATGGTTAGAAATCACTGACGGAAATCATAACGTTGTATATGAGCATAACAAATGAATTTTTCAATGTAATTTCTTGACTAGTTCAGAAATAAAAACTGCGTTTACCTATTATGAGAATTATGCCGTTTATTCATTGGTTTAACAGCAATAATCATTTTCATACATCACCTAATAATATCAAGAAATAATGATACGGGAAATCTTTTAACATGAATATAAATATGAATATTAATAAAACAACAAAAATTTACGCGGGTTTGACATTCATATTATAAATTTGCCAGTAACTGTCACGAGGATGCTCGGCTACTAATAATCGAGCCAGGGCGTTTATACGAATGCATAAAAAACATCTAGCTGCTGATCGAGCCGCTGTTCTATGACGCCGATTATTGTTATCCACTCCATGTGGATTAAAAAAAAGAAAATGAGAGCCGTGGACCTCTAAACGCAACTAGAAGACTTTGAATCCCACTGTCTTTCCATGCCCCACGAACAAGAATCCACATGTCTCCAATTGGTTGGAATGTATTTCCACACATCGAAGAATAGCTTCAGTCAGATCAGCCATCAGAGTACCCGCACCAAACTCGCCTTCGCCACACTGATCAATGCCAATCGTAACGTGACAGCCAAAAACGGAGAAGTTCGGAAGAAGATCTTCTGGATGAAGATGGGGCGACACAACTTTGTTGATTGATTTGCATTGGGCAGAGTATGCATCACCTCCAATCAAAACTCTGTTTAGCAGGTCCTGCGATATAGGTTCCCTTAAAAATGCCACTACCCAGAACGTTACGATTCCCGTGCATTGAGCATTGGCTCTCTCAGGTGGGAAACGACGTTTATCTCCTTGATGGAAAGAGGCAGATTGGTGAAGAAAGACACCGTGTATGGCAGTCGTCAAGTTTTGGGGCCCCACTGCTTTCTGTACCATTGACCCAGCTGTTTGCTGTTTATAGACCTAAAAATTGAGAAACCATCAGAGTTACCAATATCAGTGACATACCATTGTATGAATAAACTATGATAATTATTTAGCTTTATTCAAGTACCGAAGGTCTATCCCGGTGAGCTGCTACTGTTGGGTGCTGACTTACAGATCCTCCACGATTTGACAGCGAGACTGGAAATGTCAATTGAGAAGAAAGTATAGCATGGATGCTATACTTCCTTCGTATTCTGCGTATATCATCCTGACTGAAATCGAAAGGAACTTTCCTGCTAGAGTACTCTGCATAGGTACAGAGGAATACACCGCAATCCCAAAAATTTTTCTGACGAGGAAGATCCTGCAATCAAATCATTTTGTTAGAATCTCCTGTTGAAAATGGAACTAAAGAATGAATAAGAGTGGCCAGCCGTTGCTTTCATCCTACATTTAATTAAGAAAAACACAACAACCATAGCTGTAGCAAATGTTTTACATTTTGAATATCTTCAGAAATTATTAAAAGGAGATTATTTTATTGAAATATTTTTCCAAAACAGTTTTTCATATAATTTGTTTTATATTTACTGACATCGTTGAGGTACATACATTTGCATGGGTAGTCTTCCACTCTGATAGTGCGAGCTCTCGACCCCTCTTCTCGAGCATTTCAAAGTAAAACTAATGGAGACTTGTCTAGCAAAATAGAAAACAGTAAGGAATGCTTAATGATTTCCAATCAATTCAAGCGATGTTTACTACTAAATACTTACATCCATATAGGACTGAGTCTCACCCCCCAAACTATCATAATGTGTAATACATTTAGCTTTAACATCTACAACACACAAAGTCCAATGCGAATCAGCGTTGATGGGTATCAGCAAGAGCTCTCTACTGAATATATCAATCTGAAAAATTTCTGCATCAAAAAAGATAGCTGTTACCTTCTACTGTCGTTAACTCCTCCTGACTATAGTGTTATAAGAAAGCCCTATTTATTAACCTTATTTGTCCATTTTTTCACACTGTCGTATGAGGTTACGAACCTACTGAAGAAAAAGCTATCAAATGCATGGATTGACCCTCTGCATCTTTTTGCTATCAAACGTAGATATATGTTGATAATCTGCGGTAGTAAACAAAACATTACTTATTCAAATTTAATGAGGAGATTACGAATTCATGTGTCGCAGAAGCTATCATGAAAAAATGGATCAGTATTTTCGACAGTATTAATCGACAGTTCGTATTAATCGACAGTTTCGAAAGTTTTAAATTGAAGTCGTCGGTCCCACTTTCTGAATTCTACAGAAAATTTTTCTCAATTTTTCAACTTAAAACTCTTAAAGTCAAATCCACAAATTTATGACTTGCAAAATTGTCATTCTGAGACCACACATTTAAAAATGAAGCTCATGTTTTTCGATATAGTATCTTGATTAATATACTTACTATATCATTGAGCCATTTCTCCGGTAACAACCGCTGCAAATCACCTACACGAAGGATTCCTTCGTTAGTGCGGATTTTCGTGCTCACATCTTGCTCCAACCACTCCTATGAAACAACGTTAACATATGTCTAGTGGCAAGACTAGTTGAAGATGCAAATTGAAGATGTTTAATGCATCATTCATTGGAACCGTTCTGTACGATACCATAGTTGAGAGCTACCAATGTTCTACGATTTTTAACATTATCATCAGTTAATTTTAGTCTAGTGGTATTAAGCATTGAATCTAGAGTTCCAAGGCATTGGAGGGCATGAATTTTGTTGCTTAGAGTACCTGCAGAGTGAACGAAGACGATTGTAGAGGTGTTTCAGGCCACAGTGATGGTTCGTCTGCATTAACCACCAGTGTGGTACTGTTAGATGCATTCTGATACTCGAGAGCAATGATCCTATTACCATCGATCTCCAACTATAAGTTGAACACACAATCAATTAGCACAATTTCTTGACAGTGTAAATAACGAAATTCGGATGAGATTAGGTATGTGCGAACACGAAACACTTATGTATTAAATTTAATAAGATTGATCCTTAAGCACACGCAAGTCTTTTAGTCTGTATAAATGTGTATTTACGAAGAGGCAACGTAAAATGAAACATTTTATGTCATTGATTGATTTCTAGTTGCCCTATCTGTAAACAAATGTATTGCAATCAGGAGTTGTTAAGAAACTTGCCATTGTCACGTATTCATACGTGTTCTCTATTTTATTTAGAGAATTATCATTAACAAAAAAATGATTGACAAAACGTTTTATGATTCGGGATCATGACCAATGACCAACGTTAATTTTTATTCCCATGAACAATTTTAATAATTATTCACATGACCAATTTTAATTTTCAATCACAGGAAGAAACCGATTCCCAATACACCAAAATTAATCGAAAAATATATCGTTAATTCTGGAAGCATTTAATTGGAAATCCGCAGACCACAATTAAAAATCAACTTCAGGTTTTATTCAAACGAATAAGCCGATACATGAAAATTCATTGAAAAAATATGATTAATACTAAAAGCATTTTGACTTAAAATTGGTAAATCCAATTCAAGATCGATTTCAGTCATTAATCACACGAACGAGCTGATTCCCATTAAAATAAAATTTATTGGAAAAATATAGTTAATACTACAGGCACTTTTACCCTAAACTCAGAAAATACAATTGATGACCTTTTCACGAAGAATTCCAATGTATCTATTAACGAAGATACAATAACAATTTATAATCAACAACAAAAAAATCCACTAACAATTCGAATATCGATAATGAATTTTTTCTGGAAACGCTCAAACGTCGGAAAACACCAATCTGCGTCTCTCGAAGTATCCACAGAACCCACAAGAGAACCTGAGCATAAACAAAATAAAGAATAATTAATTAATTATGAAGCACAGATTTCACATTAGAAATATATGAAAACAAAATATATACCAACCAACTGGAAAAAGAAGCAAACACCTGAACACACCAATGCTTCGATGACAATCAAAAGATACCTGAAAATAATTATGATAGAAGTTAGAGATAGTTTAAATATTAATAAAATAAATATTTGCATACTTACCCTTATAATGACGAAACCTGCATACTGGAACAACCCAGACACGCCTATGAAAGAGAGAGACGATTATGTAAATAAATCAAATGAAAATAATACATTAATTATAAAATAAGAAGGTAAACACTACTTACCATGGGCAACATAACCCCAGCTGTCAAACCACCGGTGACAGTTCCACCACAGCGCATAAAGGCTATCTCACATTCAGAGGCGAACAACCGCCGCTCTACTGTTCAAGCAGCAACCACAACGCCACCGCATCTGTAACTAATACATAATTCAATTATAAAATTTGCTATTATCGATACTACTGAAATGCAATTAAAACATAATTAAATGCTAAAAATTCACAAGTATCAAAGATACTACGATTTAAATAAAATATGATTATAATGCAACCCCAATTTCATGAGACAAATCAAAAACGAATTCAATCGAATGCGGAATGTCAATAAAAATGCAAAATAGTAATTAAAATTATCAAATGCCTTATAATAATAAGAAGATATGGAAGGCAACAAGCAAAAGGAGTAAAAGAAGTAAATAATTATGTCCACAGAGTCTAACCAAAAATTATCATCTTGGTGTCGCGGGTCACTAAGTTTAATACACTCATTATAATAAATACAAATGAAGAAATAAATACGGGACCAGTAAGGAGCCCACGAAATACAAATAATTCGGGACCAAGAAGGAGCCCACAGATACAATTACAAAACCTAATGATTATAAACGTACTGACCTGTGATATTAAGAAAGGGTAAAAACTGCGATAATGAAGAAGGATCTCCTGAAAACATACTTTGAAAACTGTCAAATTCCAATGTTTTGCCAGCAAATTCAATTCAAATAATAAATATGAAAATAAACTTTATTCAGGTACAATTAAAACCTGACACAGATTCAAATATGACTTAATAATAAATACGATGATAATTCCATTTTATCCAGGCAAAAGTAAGACCTGACCCAGATTCCAAGAAAAAGCAAACGAATTAAATAATGCAAATAAACTTTATTCAGGCACAATTAAGACCTGACACAGATTCAAATATGACTCAATAATAAATACGATGATAATTCCATTTTATCCAGGCAAAAGTAAGACCTGATACAGTTCCAAGAAAAAGCAAACGAATTAAATAATGGAAATAAACTTTATTCAGGCACACGTAAGACCTGACACAGATTCCAATATGATTTAATAATAAATACGATGATAATTCAATTTTATTCAGGCACATGTAAGACCTGACACATATTCAAATACAAAAAGAAATAGTTCAATAATGTTAAATAAATTTCCCTCAGGCATAAATAAGACCTGACACAGAAACGCAATTGATTACATAAATAATAATCCTATTCAGGCATGTCTAAGACCTGAAGCAGAGAAATTGCAAAAATAAGAAGAATGCGATGGAAGCGACTTTGGTATTTTGGACTCGGAAAATGAATAAAAGAATAGATAAGACGAGATATTACGCAGGGGTGGCGTAACAGAATTTGTCACCTTGGCACGGCTAGTTAATTCGACCTAATAATTATCTACTTACAAATACAAAATACAAATACAAATACAAATACAAACCGGGACGAGCCTAGCCCGAAAAACAATTATATTATTAAGCCTAATTAACCTGCAATGCCAGGGCAGGGTTAAACCGCGACAACGAGGAAAGTGTCCCCGAAATTTTATCAAAGCTTTGAAGTTCCAGAGTTCCATGGAAGAAAAAGAATTATCAGAATCTCCAATATCATAATCAACTCATGCATTACGAAATTAAAATTGTTAAACAGAGAACATAATCATTCCAAAAATGTGAAGTTAAAATACGAGAAATCAATAATAATTCATCCATTCAACAAAACATATTCAAGATATACATTGAAAAATTCATAAACATTAAAGATGCATGGATTTTATCGATCGACATTTCAAAAGAGAGAGAATAACGCGCATGATTCAATAATAATGTCATTCAAATTCCACAATTGTCAACATTGTTAATAATAACAGTAATGTAAAATACTCAAAAGCGAATATATAATAATGTATAGTTCCTAAGGCATTGAACAAAGATAACTATAGGTAATCTCTCTCACACTTGTACACTGCGCTTGGAGCAGAATGAAGAGGAGGAACTATCGCCTCCCACTTAGGATACCAGAATCCTATTGGTCCCGTACCCCTACTATGTTGCGCGGACGGGCCTGCGCAGCGAGGCGCAAAAATCATTTGCAAAAATTGTAAAACGACAAGATCACAGTGAACGACCAGCAGTCAGACAGTAAACAGTTAGCTGCTACCAGTCAGATAGTAAACAGTAGAAGCAGTGAAACGGTCGAGACGCGAGATTAGTGAAATTTCAAATCTATTTCGTCAACCGGTAATATGCTTCAATAAGCTTTAAATAAGCCCATTTAAATCATGGGGCCCCTTCAGGGCACCCACTTAAATTCCCAATTGCAAAACCAAATTAATTAATTAATCCGACATCGAACGAATCTCCGCGGCGCGCTAAAGATTTGACTGGAAGCTTCTTGATCTTTTCGTTCCATTCCAATTAAAATGTCAACTCAATTGATTTATAAACTAATTAAAATTCAGTGAAATAAATTGAGTGAAATAAAATTGGTGCATTCAATTCAGTGAATAATCGAACCTGAACCTTACCGGACTGTTGATCCTTAAAATTCTTGCGATGATTTATTTGCGGCTTATGGCTGGGGATATGTCTCTCAAGTTTCGCGGAATCCGTAGACAGATATTATACTAGTCGAGTTAATGGTGATTTGTTTGGCCGCTTTTCCCGCACAGGGGGTAGCTTGGACAAGTCAATCCATTGATTCTCACCGCTAACAGTTCAATTAACCGACCCAATTTTAATGAAGTTCCAAATTAATTTCAATAGTTTTCCTAAATCAAACCTTTTTGATCCAGTTATAAACGTTCTAATAATTTTGCCGAGGTTACAAGTGGACCCCCAGTGGCCTTAAAAAGGGGCTATTGCCGCTTGGAAACCCCACGAGAATTATTAAAACGCTTCACAGATCTTTCGATTTTGCTCAAGTCTATTCTTTACTGCGTCCGACGCAAGAAATTCTTGAAAAACCACCTAATTCATGTAAAGGAATATTCAATCATCTACTAATCATCTAGAAGTGAGGAATAGTTGGACGAGTGGAAACTTTAAATATCTGGAACAATTTTGGGCACATCCATTGACATCGAGATGTGAAATCTCGGACTGACTCGTGGACTTTCCGCCAGTCGAGAGGAGGTGACAACGCAGGAGAAGAAAATTTGGCGAATTCGTAAAACCAAGTGAGAGAACGTAAGTAAATTGAAAACAACCGTCATAACCCGGAGATTGATTGATCGTCCAAATACTAAATCGAAAAATGAAGAAACCGCGGACGATCAAACGAGAAGTTCCACCCCAACCTAGTAACGGCAAGTCAAGCAACGGTCGACTACCGCTCGGCGGCTACTGCTTAAACACGACTTCCCTAAATTCTCGTCAAATTCGTCCCAAGCTTCATTATTAATTTCCCTATGATTCGTAGAAAATAAATTTATTATTTTTCACGGAAAATTCGGGGGAATACGTAACACCATAAGTCCTTTGTAACGGGATTTTCGGAAATCCCACACATTAAACTAAATTTTGGGTTAAGTTCTCTAAAACTTCTGCCATCTCGACTCTCTCCCGGGAATTACTCGAATCGTCGAGGGGTGTGGGGACTGGGGCCCGAGTGCTTAGGGTGTTAGGAGGCCTGAAGACAGGCAACAGCACAGGGCAGACACGTGGAAACATTCCCAGCTCCCCTACGAGACTTGCTGGCATATAGCAGAGGACTCATACTGGCGTATGAGCGCTCCTTGTTAGATGGGGTGGGCATTCGAGCGGCTGATCCTTCGAAGGGGTTGTTCGAAGGGATCAGTGGCGACGTTCGAATTCGGCGCGCTCCAGGAGAGGCTAATGCCAGGGATATCCTCCCTGCGGCGAGGGCAGCACGTCCCGGCACACGGCAGCTCACCCAGCCGTAGTCGAGAGTGGGGGTACATCGGCACTACTGCTGACACTGCCACTCACTCGGCAGAGCCGCTTCGGCTGGCTCCCAGTGCGGACCACTGGCAGCTCTCTCTCGAGCCCTTAGCCGGCTCCCAATGCCCAGCATTGGTCTTCTACGCTCTCTAAGTGAGAATCATCCTCTCCCCGGGATCACTCTCTGAGTGAGGGCAATACCCTCCTCGGGTGGTGTTCTCTAGGTGAGGGCCATGTTCTTCCTGGTGATGTTCTCTGGGTGAGAGCCATCCTCTCCCCAGTTAGGCTCTCTACATTTGGGGCTACCCTAGTGGGCCCGGCACGCTCTCGATAGTGTGCTTTTGGATGAGTAATCCCCACGCTCTCGGCCTCCGCTATTTTACGTCGCTCTCTCGGCGAGGTGTTCTCAGAGGTCGCCCACAGCATCCCCGAACCCCGCACGTATGCTCTCGGTATCCCGAACCACGATCTGTTCTCTGTATCATTTTTCGGTCTAGATTTCGGTTATTAGAGTCGCGTATTGTCACGTATTCATACGTGAATACGGGGAGTACGTAACAGTATCCGTGGACCCTGGCCCTCTCTCCACGACCTAGCATCCTGAGCAACCCAGGTCTTCCCGCTTCCGTTCCATTCGTCATCAGCTTCTAGCTTCTCGCGGGTAGTTTTACGGTAATGAGGTTATCGTTCTAGTTCTGGGAGTGCGGACTCCCCGGTTTTGGATTCGTGGATTTACGGATTTGGTGTTGTCGCGAGGACGAGTTCCAACCCCACTCGTCCTGTCCTTTCGTGCTCTTGTTTTTGAATATTTCGGGATTTTAGGTTTGATGAGGTCGGCTGACCTCGGGCAAGGCAGGGCACCCCCCCTCCTTGCCTTTGTTTCGGTTCTTTCGGTTTTCGTTAGCTTTTGGGCCATAAAAAACTAGCTGGCGCCCGCACTAATTCGGTTGGATTTTAGGATGCGAGCACGGGAACGGGCGAAGATAATAACTATCGCCGATCTTCGGACCGAGGTCGGGGAAAAGTGTTACACCTTGCATTATGAAATTCGATGCAATTTCAATTTTAAGTCCTTAGGATTTCCCAAGTATTTCACAACATTAATTTTATAATAATTGTTTGTCGTTTCCTTCGTTTGTTTTTATTATTGTTTATTTGTACTTTATCGTAATTTGCTAATTGATTTTTCATATACCTCTTTCCGAAGAATTATCAGATTTTTCATATTTAACAACTATGGCAAAGTAATTAAGCCGAAAAATTCTTATGGAAAAAACTACAGCACAAGAAGTTACAAAGTAAAACACGTTACTACCGTTCATATCGACGAATTTTATATAAAATTAAAAAGCACTGCGATTTTCAATGCAATATATTTCTAGGGTTTTTCATTAAGACGAAGAATGGAAAAGACAATTCTACGAAACGACTTACGCAGCGTTTCTTGTGCATTGGAGAATCCTCCTCTTCATGATCGGGTTTATGTGTGCTATCATTTGTCACATCATTCTGTAAACCGATAGGAATATCTACGTCAGTTTGAAGAATATGTGCAATTTGCTCGTTTTCAATGTCGCCATCAACAGTCTGAAAATAAATTCATCAATTAATCGATGTACTCAAGCCATCGATTGTCTGAAATAACTAGATGCAGACGAAATTTTATTCATGATTGATAGTAGAACGAATATGGAGAGAATATTAATTACGTCTCACCTGGGGTGAATTATCTGGGAACAGCCGTCTTCTTAGTGATTGTAAAACAGAACCAACAGATTCGTCAGGGGTTCGACCTTGTCGTGCGTACCATTCCATCTCTCTTGGCCTGGAAACATCAGAAACAGCACTGTTAACTACATCATCAGGACCTTGGCTGCAGTTGTCAGAATCTTCGTTATCAGCTACATCACGCTTGTAATCCTCGACAATCTTCCTCTTCACTTTTGTGCAACATTCCCTCCAAACTTCTGGAGTAATTGTTGCAAGTGCATCTGCCCATACTCGCTTCGTCATTTCATCAGAGTAATCATGATTTGGATCCACATGTGCATCGAAATATCGTTTCGCCAGTCCCCATATCAACTCAATGGGGTTGTAGATGCAATGATAAGGAGGTAGACGAAGAATTCTATGTTCAGTCGTTATCTTTACAAGCTCATCTAACTCATACTTAACAGGTTTTTTAATCATGGCATACAAAACTTGTGACTCCTTCTACGTAAGCATCGTATCGACATTGATGCCCTCCTGCTTCAGCCATGCTATCATCTCACCTTTGTTCCAATTCGAAGTTGGATTTTTTTCAATCTGCAAGAGAAGAGTCGACAAAAGAAGAATAAAACACGATCACGATGACCTGGAGTAATTGAAAATGAGCCTGCTTCGAAAAAATTGACGGTATTTAAATTAAATGAAGTATTTAGCTGTTGGTATGTTTTATTCAGACGTAGTCGTGCGGGCTAAGCATTTCGATGTTTGTTAAATATTCAGCTCAAAACAGTATATTTATGCTCACTACGAATCATCATTGCATGACAATCGTCCTTTTTCAACAAAATACAAACTTGAAAGCTATGATATTATACCTGCATACTGTGGTAGGGTGCGTTGTCCATAACAATTACCGTACGTCGCTTGAGATTATGGATCAACTGTTCGAAAAACCAGGCTTTGAATCTCGTCCCATTCATGTGATCATGATAGTCGTTGGACATTTGCCTTGAGCGAAAAAAAAGTGATGCCCCAGGGACGAATCCTTCATGGCCACTTGCGTGGCACACGATCCACCTGTCTCCAGTCGATGTGGTTCTGATTGAGCAGCTTCGCTTGTCATGGTCCTGCCAATCTTTCTTTTTGTCAGTACCCCTCTGAAATGTCCATGTCTCATCAAGCCAGATAATATCGTATTTATCGTCATCAAGGAATTCCTTCATAGCTTTCAGGAATTGGATTCTTTTAAGTTTGATGTGTGGCTCCTCTACAATGTAACGAGATCCATTGCCAGTTTCGTAAATCAATCCCATGTCGTACAGTAGGTTCCTGAAGCTGTCAATCTCCCCATGATAAGCAATACCTCTTTTCCTATATGATTCACAATGGCCAAAAATCAGACTGTGGGATATGCCAATGTTTTCTGTATGTATTGAATTCATGAATATTCGAAATGTAATGAAAATATTTCGAAAAGTAACTTTATTTTTGGCCGTCAAATATGGCTGGAACAAGTTATTTTCGCTCAATTAATCTATGATTTTGTATTCGTAAGAAATTGAGTTCTTCATCAATTAATTTTCGTGCTGAATTGTCTTGAGCCTATTAATTTTGAGAAAATGTAAGTAGTTGAGAAAATATGTAATTGAATAATATTGAGAATAAGTTTTTTTTCACAGGATTACATAGTATCATGTTAATACAGAAAATATTGAAGAGAAATTGCAGATACTTCTGTGGGAGAGAAAATCGAAATTTATTCCCATTGCTAACTAAAATAAAATGATTGTCTTTGTACCTTACGAGTTGGAGGAGATCAGTTGCAGTGACTGAGCGTCCTAATGGAAGAAAAAAATTCTCTGTGGTTACCGTCAACTTCGGTTTATACATGTGATTGTCTTTAGCTCAAGAAGAGATAAGTGACATCCAAGAAACTTACGTTGTTCAGCTTGATCATAGAGAATCTCACGAATTGCTAATAGTCTCATTAAGGTTCCTCTTCGGTTTTTCTGTGGCCCGTTTCTTGGCTGGAGTTTCAAAATTTACACCGCTGTTTCCGATCCGAACAAGTTTACTCACCGATGCTTTACTGCAATCTTTTTCCTGAAACAGAATTGATTAATAAATGATAACATCAACATAAAAGAAGTTTGACTTATGAAAAACAGATCATTGAATAAATAGGTAGGTTAATAAATTTGCAGAATATATATGAATAAACCAGTGAACGCTCAATTTTTCTGATTTTGTGGTACATCAGTAGTTTGCTTTAAGGCTTGTATCACAGTATTGTTTCGAGTATTATCAGTACAATAAAAAAAGATTGTCTTTATTGAGCATATTCATTCCTCCAGTATCCTGGGCATAGGATTGGTTGTGCCGGAAAGAAGAAAAACAATTAAGAGCACCATCCTGAGAAACCGTATCTGAGTTATTTGCGTGCTCAGCTGCTCATTAACCAGCATCAGTTAGGGTATATAGGAACACAGATTAATAGAAAATAAACCATTTTAATAATTACCTGATTTCGGCAAGTGGAGTAAGAGCACTACCGTGGACTCGTTCTCGTTCGAAATATTCCCAGACTGAAAAAATTGCACTCTGCATTTGCCTAGTAAAAGGCCTTCCCCGCTTGTCTCTCTGCATATGATTCCATTCTTTCAATTTACGTGGATACTTGGGAGATGTCCTCTTCTTTCTCATTCGCATCTTCATTCATTCTGAATAAATACCATAAAATAAATTATTCTGAAACTATCCAAATTAAGTATATTTTTTTTTGATTTTGCTCACATTCTCATCAAGAAATCAATTTCACCCCTGATCCATACTCTGTAACGAGATTTTCTCGTCACTGTTACGAATTCTCACTAAATCGGACCATAAAAGAATTTAGAATTTTATTTTCCGACGGATCGAATGTTTCTTTTTTTTTGATTCATTAAAGTGTACTATCATGTTGCGAATTTTTCATTTTTAGGGAAGCCTAAGGTAAGCGAAATTCGTCGAGCGGTAGCCGAAAATCACTAAGCTTGCCGAAACTAGGTTAACACAATTCGCACGCGCACTATCGCACTTTCCGAG